AAATCTCATTTGCGGACGATTTGAGGAGGCATAACCTGACATTATTAACCACTTTTTTTACCTCTTGTTTCTTATTATTTAAATTTCCTTTAATGACTGCATTATTAACAACTAATCTTGTTTAGTCAGTCTCTTAAGTTTCACACACGCACACACCCCCCACATGGGTAGGGTTATTAAACTAATAGCATACCCTCTTTCGTAGGATGTAATGTTGCATGGGGTAGCAGAGGCCGTACGGACAGACAGACTCACAAGGCATTAATAATAATATTGAGCATATCGTATCCCCATCATCTTCGATCTTTCCAAGTTCCCCTTGGCATTTCAAGTTGCTCAACAAACAACCACTAGAGTATGCTTATAAAATTGTTGGACCACAAATTTATGAACATAGTTTTGGTTTTGTTATTATTATGATCCAGAAGAAGCAAACCGACTTATAACTCAATTGGTTATTAAAGTATTTATTCTTAACTCTAAAATAGGATTCGATTTTTCTCTTTTCAAATATTTACTTGAATAACCGAGTTATTGAGAGGAATACAAGTCGTACATTCAGATATCTACGAGGAATACAAGGCTATTTAACAATACAACATTATATTTTTGAATATCTATTCTTGATCTAGTAACTCATTAACCTAGAATTCGATCATACACAATTGCTTCGAAACTTCATGAAAGAGATGGAGAAAGATGCCACTACCAAAGGAGAAGGTAGATGGAAAAAAAAACGAAAAAAAGTAGAGCATAGAGAGTGATTCCCTCTTCTTAACCTTGCCTCACCTTTCTCTTTCATTCTGGCTCTATTATTGCCCACATCAACCCAACTGCATCGACCATGCTTTGGTTTAACCACTACCGAAATCTATAAAGCATATATCAAAAAGTAATAAAAAGTAGAAAACAAAAAAACAAAAAGATACTAAATTGGACGGCCAAGATTACTCGAGGCATGCTATGCTATCATGATAAATTAGAAAAAAAGAAAGAAAAAGAAGAAGATATATATATACACACACATGGGGAATCATGTGTGTTTTGTTTGTGCTTCACCACCTTTTAAGGGGCAAATTGTTTTTTGCACCACGACTTGTGGGGATATATATATATATATATATATCTAGTGTATTTTTTTCTTTCTTTATTTTTATTTGGTTTTGTTCTTTATTTATCTTTTCTTCCATTCAAACTTAAAGTTGGTGTTATATTCTACATGTGATCTCCACCCTTTTAAACTCTCACATTATGAAGAATCTCTCACTCTCTTTCTCTATCTTTACAGCTTTGTTTTTCCTTTTCGGGAATCTCATTCATCACCCCAACAACACATATAAAACCAACCATACTTGAATATTTCTCACTTCCATTCGTCTCTGTCAACATAACAAACAATATACATAAATACAACCAAACTCGTTTTTGCTCATGCATGAGAGAGAGAGAGGAGAGAGGAGAGGAGAGAGAGAGAGAGAGAGAGAGAGAGAGAGAGAGAGAGAGCAAAGCTAAAATAATAAAAGGACACTTTCCCATTTGTGCTGCAATTGTTATGACAACTAAGTATGATGCTTGCTGCATCTGCTGCTGGGGTCTCTGACGGGCTATCATTATTTCTTGTATTGGAAACATACCTTACTTGTGCTCAGGATGCTTGGAAAGATGTCAGCTTTATATATATCTATATATCTCTCTCTCTCTCCTTCCTTCTGCCAAAGTGAAATTTGACCGTTTGGTTGGGGGGAAAGTGAGGGAGAAGTGGCATTCATTCATGGGGCCACCTGCAGGGTGGGTCCCTTTTGCAGCCCTGGACCCACTGCATGATTCTACTGGTGTCCATCAATCTGCAGTACCCAGTAAACTCATGTGGCATCATGGCATGTCATTATTTATAATTTTTTTTTTTTTTTACCACTTGTAGTTCAACAGAATGTGATTTTTACAACCAGCTGAAATTTACCCTCATAATAAAGTAAGAACGAAACTTCCCACATTCAATGAGACACATGCAAAGAAAGAAAGAAGTGGGAAAAAGATTAACAATGGTGGATCTCTCTCTCTGCTCTGCTCAAACAGAGATTACATTTCCCAATGCACCATCTCTTTCTTTCTCTCTCTGTATTTTTTTCTTTCTTGTCATGGTGTTTGTTTGCCTGCCAGGCTTAAATGTCTCTCCATGTGCATTTCAATACATCCTTCCTCTCCTCCAACTTTAGGACAAGTCAATTTCACTTTAAATTGTTAATGCATTCACAAATTCAATACAGAGATACTTGTCCCAATGGATACTACCTCTCCACCCGTCACCCATAATAATGTGTAGGCCTCAACCATAACAAGGACTCTGCATTTGTCAGTTCACAAAACACTATTTTTTAATTAAATAAATATAAATAATAATAATAAATGAAAAAGTTATTCTTTTCACCTGTTTTCAGATTTTGGAAGACTTCAAGAGTAAGGTTATACACAAAAAGCAAAGAAGAAATTATTATGATCATATGGTCAAAGCACCAATATTGCTTTGATGGTAAGAATTTTATATCTGGAAAGGAAGCTGCATGCATAGCATAGCATCTCTTGCTTTGCTACAAACTTTTGTCCATTAAATTGCAAGTATACCTAAACCCTTGCCCTTGACAAGGCATATTTTACTGTTTGTATTAGAATTAAGTGGCCAAGTTTAAAACCAAGATGTTGCAAATCTCAAGTGATTAAGAGCAGTTACTTTTGCACCCGACATCATGTGTTCGAATCTCTCCTTCTCCAATATCACTTGTGTAAAAAACCCAAGATGTCATGTGCAATTTACCAAGAGAAAGAAAAAAAAGAAGAAAAAAGAGTAAGGTGTCCTTAAGAAGTGCTTTTATTAAAGCATAAAAGCACTTTCATGTTAAGTGTTTAAACACACTAGTTATCCACGCACTTACAAATTTGTTTCTATACAAAAGATTTTGTGGTTTCCTAGACTTCACTAGATTCATGGTTTTTCTGAACATTCTTTCTTTCTTTGTCGTCCAGCAGAGACTTTATATTTGGGCTATTATTTATCCAGAGACTTCATAAAGGTTAAAGTGGGCTTTGACCTATAACTGGCCCAAGTCCAAACGGTTAAGTCCAATTGGCTTGAGCCCCACTATTAGGCATGGCTCGTCAAAGTTTTATTTATTAATTTAAATTTATTTTATTGTTACAAGTGATAATTAGTCTAAATTAATTTAACCGAAAGAGGGATTCGAACTTGGGTATACAATATGTATATTTTTGTAATTAAATCTGCCAATCACCATCAGATGTTTTCTATTCTTAATTTAATTAATTGGCTTTTGGATACGTGCGTGTTTGATCATATACAGACAAGTAACTATATTTAAATTTAATTAAAGTAGAGGTTAATTCTATCTCACCTCAAATGGATACACCTATGCATGTCAAAGTCACAAATAATACAGCAACCTAGCCCAGGCAAAAGGCTCCTTAGGCCTCAAAATCCACTTCCCGTGCCCAATTCTTGCCAGGGCAAGAAATGCTCCTGCACAGCTTATGCAAATTTGGATTTCAGGGATGGAGGAAGTGAGTGCTTGCTGTGCGGTTTAGTGACCTGATTGATATATAAGAAATTTCACAGAAAATAGGCAAGATATATATGATTATTAGAATGGTATCATCAGAACTAGGTATGGAGCCATCTCAAATCTCAAATCTCAAAAGTTAGTGTTTAATGTAAATTTGAAAAGAAAACAAGAGAAAAAGAAACATCTTTGTACATGAAACACCCAATTGGGAGTTATGCACCTCTTAATGATCATGCACAAAAAATTAAAGTCAAAACATAACAAACTCAAAGGTTGTTACTTGCCAACGGGTAGAAAAGGGCCTTGACTTGTGGACTAGAGATCTTAGGTTCAAACTCCCTTGGCACCGTTGTAGTGTGTGTGTGTGAGAAACCCCCCTCCCCTTATAGTTAAGACTGTCGCTTGTATTCACAAAGGTTGTTACTCTATAAGTTTTGGCTTTTGACTTGTAAACCTGTTAAATCCAATGAGAAGAAAGTGAGAATCATAGTGGGCACTATAATGTCATCTCCTGGACTCCTCCTGAGTGTAGCTCTGTTTTTTTATGTTGGGAAGAAGCAGCACCAGAAAGATGGTATGTTGTTTTCTAGTCTTTTACCCCACAGTTTTCCTATAGAATATAGATAGAGAGCAACTTGGGTTCTTTGAAAATTTAACTACAATGGCCCTTTGCTTTATAAATACATAGATAGATATGACATGATGTTAAATTAGTGTTCTAGAATTGAAAAAAATGAAATGTAAGTCAAATTATTGGACAGCACCTCCCCAGTTGGAGATGCTCTTATTCATACTTCCCTTGGGCATTTGTATTAAGGTCAAATGTGAGGTTCACAACTTGAGAAGAAAAAGAAAAACTGAAAGAGGAGAGGAAAGGGATGGGAAGACTTGAACAATAATGCCAAAGAGTATACAAATCAGAAAATTGCAGCTTCCTTTGAGTGAGGGAATTGGATGAGAAGACTTGTTCAAATTTGGTATATTTGATTATGGAAGAATGACCGAGTGAGTGGACCAGTTCTTGGATCATCCAAAATGGCACTAGTTTCAAATAATGTTGTCTCCAAGATGACCACGAAATGAATTTTCAGATTTTTCTACTAGAGGAACGATCCATTCTTAACTAAATTTAAAGGCAGTCTACATTTGATTGAGGAGAATTTTCTCCATTTCACGCTGGAGAAAATTTAGTTTATTTGCATTCAATCATGCATCTAAATTTAGTTTCATATTGTCGACAATGTATCGATAACGTGTTGACAATGATAATCAATATGAATTCTGCTCCAGCTCTGAAAAGGGATCCCTGATGAAATCAATGAATTTCTTTTAGTAGGCAATTCATCCTAAGAAAATGACGGGGTACCAAATCAATACATTCAAAGTGTAAAATATTGAGGAACTAGAAGATGATTGACTGCTTGCATTGCTAACTACAGATTAGTGGTCAATAGATAGGAATTATATATATATATTATCACAGAGTCTTTGTGAAGTGAGATGTTATCTCACAAACTATAGCAAGGGCCTAAGGAGAACCAACCAATGAGGTCTTCAAAGTTCCACAAAAAAGCAGGCTCAGTGCCATAGAAAATTTTAAGAAAGAGCTCATATATGAATGGCTGGAAAACTGAAAATCCATGCAAGGCTTTTATATAATATGTGGTTGCATCTTTTGTGCTCCTCTTTGCTGCTTATCACAACAGAAATAATAGTTTCTACAGCAGAAGACACAAGCACATTTCAGTCCATTGCAGATGGTGAGACCGTAGTTTCAACAGGGGGAACCTTTGAGCTTGGATTCTTCAGCGCCGGTGCTTCAAAAAGCCGGTACGTGGCGATATGGTACAAGAAGATACCAGTTGCCACCATTGTATGGATTGCCAACAGAGACACACCCCTCACAGGTTCATCAGGTGTACTCAAGGTAAGCAGCCCTGGATTTCTTGTCCTTGTTGACCAAAAGAACACTTCAGTTTGGTCTTCCAACACATCAAGTTCTGCACAGAATCCAGTGGCAAAACTTTTGGATTCGGGAAATCTTGTTGTGATAGATGGCAATGATCATAATGACACTGAGAAATATTTATGGCAGAGTTTTGATTACCCAGGTGATACATTACTACCAGGTATGAAGCTTGGTAGGAACAAAATCACAGGTTTCAATTGGCATCTTACACCATGGAAAAGCCCCCAGGATCCTTCTCCCGGAAATTATACATATCAGCTTGGTCCTGATGGATACCATGAATTAATTGTGAGGGAGGGTTCTGTTATAAAGTATCGGACTGGACCATGGAATGGAATCCAATTTAGTGGGATGCATGATTTAAATTCAGACCATACAAACACATATGGTTTTGTGTTGGATGATGATGAAGAAGTATATTATGGTTACAAGCTTCTCAACAGTTCAGTTCTTTCAAGGCTGGCTTTAACTCAAGATGGGTTTCTGCATAGCTACACCTGGAGTGATGAAACCCAAGGTTGGGTCCTTTACCTAACAGCACAGGTTGATATCTGTGACAGCTATGGACTATGTGGTCCAAATGGTGCATGCACTGTTGAAAACTCCCCAGTATGTGGCTGCTTGGAAGGATTTACACCTAACTTTCAACAAGACCGGGACTTGGTGGATTGGTCATATGGCTGTGTGAGAAAGACTCCACTGAGTTGCACTGGAGACATCTTTAAGAAGTACTCTGGGATGAAATTGCCAAATACAGAACAATCCTGGTATAACTCAAGTATGAACCTCAAGGAATGTGAGATGATGTGCATGAACAGCTTCTGCTCCTGCACTGCTTTTGCGAATTTGGATGTCCGGGATGGAGGAAGGGGGTGCTTGCTGTGGTTCAGCGACCTGATTGATATAAGATATTCCACTGGAAATGGGCAAGATGTTTACGTAAGAATGGCTGCATCGGAACTAGGTATGGAATTATCTTGCTGTTTAGAACAAAGTTTGAAAGGAAAAGAAAAAAAAACCAAGTAAAAAGAAGAAAGAAATCTTCCGACAGTACATGTGCCTAAAGGCAGTGTAGAGAGGAACAAAATAAAGCCAGAAAACTTTTGACACAATTAGAAAAATATTTCTCTGGAATTGTCTCAGAAACAATACAGTACATAAGTTCTTCTTTATTGATCTCTGACTCCTCGAGTTTCTGCTTTCAAATACTTCATTCCTAGATCAAGGAAGCAATACAGACACCAATGCTAAAACCTCTAAATCCAATGTGAAAAAAGTGAGAATCATAGTAATCAGTACTGTGTTGTCTACTGTACTGCTGATCCTGGGGCTAACATTGCTATTATATGTGCGGAAGAAGCAGCACCAAAAAGATGGTAAGCTATTTAATTTTGTACTATTCTGCCCCTCCATCTTCTATGTAGGCTCAGTTCTATAGGGAATTTTTGCTGTTGCTCCTTTATTTTGTAAGCTAGGTAGTTTGGTTTCAGTTTCAGTTCCAGGTTACTTTATTTACTTCACTGAATACTTCACAGGAAAACCGAGGCCCAGCCAAAAGGAAGATATGGAATTACCATTATTTGACTTGGCTGCTATTGTTTGTGCAACCAATAGCTTTTCAAACGACAGTAAACTTGGAGAAGGCGGTTTCGGATCAGTCTTTAAGGTAAAGTCATATGCAGTCCTCCCTACAGTGAGCTGGACAGTTTTCACACGTTTCGGCCAGGACATACAAAGTAGTATATTGAACGTTTGCAAACTACAGAGTATGAATTTTGGTCATGATATGTGGCTGATGGATTTCAGGGTACACTGAAAGATGGACAAGAAATAGCTGTGAAAAGGCTCTCAAAACATTCTACACAAGGATTCAACGAGTTGAATAATGAGGTTACGCATATTGCTAAACTTCAGCACAGGAATCTAGTGAAGCTTTTAGGATGCTGCATTCAAGAAGATGAAATGATGCTGATCTACGAGTTCATGCCTAACAAAAGCTTAGACTTCTTTATTTTTGGTTTGACCACTCAAAAACCTTCTTCATTAGTTCACTTCTTTGTTGGTTTGCAAGGTGTAGGGTGGGATTTTATCTATCTGTTTCTTGCCATATGCATTTTTCTGCCTCTTTGCGTGCAGTGTACACATAAGGAATTTGTTAGCTTGATTTACTATGTTGGAATATTCCCTAACAATTTAAGCTTTTACAGTAAAACAGTTGTATGACCGTTGACACATCCTTTTTGCTTCTTTTTTGAGAGTTTTTTCCTTTTCAATTAGGATTTAGCTTAGAGAATAATAACATGTCTTGTTGTGTGTTTGAGTATGATCAAAACTTGATTATGTTAGCATGATGGACATTTGAACATTGGTGAACTACACTATTTTGCAGATCAAAGAAAAAGCATGATGCTAGATTGGCCCAAGCGCTTTGACATTATAAATGGAATTGCTCGGGGGCTCCTCTATCTTCATCAGGATTCTAGACTGAGAGTAATTCATAGAGATCTGAAAGCCAGTAACATTTTATTAGACCGTGGATTTAACCCAAAAATCTCAGACTTTGGCCTGGCAAGAAGTTTTGCAGAAAATGAAACAAATGCAAAAACCAAGAAAGTGGTTGGAACATAGTAAGTATATATATCACAAAAGAACCAGTATGTACATATGGTATACTTACTTTGCTTATTAAATTAGTTCTTGATTGACTAGTTTGTAGTGGTTACATGTCCCCAGAATACGCAATTGATGGGTTCTACTCGACAAAATCCGACGTCTATAGCTTTGGTGTGTTGGTGCTAGAGATAGTGAGTGGGAAGAGAAACAGAGGATTCACTCATCCAGGCCACAGCCTCAACCTTCTTGGACATATGGCATGCCAGCTGCAGTTCTAATGTTGAGTGGTGAAGGGTCATTGCCTCAACCTCAAAAACCTGGTTTTTATAGTGAAAGGGATCTCAATGAACTCGAAGTCGATCCTTCTTCTAAAGCATTTTCAGTTAATGAAGTCACTTTTACACTAATGGAGGCTCGATAAACGATATGTCATGTTGGTGTGTTAATCTGGTGCTTTTGAAGTCAGTTTGAAAAGTGAAATATAATTAAGAGATTCCCAACCCATGCGTTAGCAAATGCACCCTCTAATTTTTTTTTTTTCTTTGGAGTTGGAGTTCACACTACAGAAACACAGATGCTGATACAAGAACTAATGTAAAAGCTATGAATTAGATTTTTCACTTGAGGTGGTGTTATAATTTTATTTATTTATTTATTTCTGTTCTTTGGTGGGTTGGTTTTGTGTTCCTATGCAAGAGGAGGAGGAGACAAAGCTTTCAATTTGTTTTCTCTCAGCAAACAAGAGGGCATCAGCAAATGTCAAAATCTATAACAGAAATGCAATATCCAAAGAATGAAAAGCAGTCCAACCAAGACGAACCATCAATGGATGAATACTGAATGCATAAAGATTTATCAAGTCTCAAGAAGAACCAAACCAATCAATCTATTGCTTGACCAAACCAGAAATAAATAGTCAGAATTTGAGATTGGGGCCTAAAAACCGAACCTTGTTATTGGCAAGACCATAGAAACTCCATTTTAGGACAGCTCCACCACGTCGTCGATGCGAAGAGAGGAGAATAAGGCGGAGTTCGCAGAGGGAGGGATTGTCCTCGTTGTCGTTGGTGTGGTGAGGTGAACATGTCGTATATTTAAGTGGTATAGCCGCGCGGCTATACGTTCGACCAATACTTAACGAGTATAGTTCGACATGTCGTATATTTCACGCGTATAGCCGCCCGGCTATACTTTTCAGTGATCTACCTCACTACCAGATTTGAGTAAATTGGAAAAAAGAAATCAAGTTGGAAAGCATTTTCCATCAATTTTTAGATGCAAAAAGTGTTTTGGAAGAGAGTGGTAGGAGGAGGACTTCGATCCACCGAGTCCCGCCGCCGATTGCTGAGATGGCATTTGACGACTCTTCTTGTGTCAGTTCAAAATCCAAAATTTCCACCTCACCAAGTTTTCGTTATCATCACATCATCACATCATCAAATCAAATGTTCCTTGTAAATTGTAATTAAAAAAGAACAACACTGTTCTCACATAACCTCTCTTCTCTTCTCTCCTCTTTTCCCTCTGTAAAACCCTAATCTTCCTTGCATTAAAATTTCTGGGTTGGCTTCTTCAACATTTTCTTTCAATAAGGTCAGTCTTCTCTCTCTCTCTCTCTCTCTCTCTCTCTCTCTGTGTATTCTTGGGCTTGTTTTGATAATTAGGAATTTGTCATGTTCTTAAACCATTTGGTTACATTACATGGAATAAAGGAAATAAATTTGTCCAGTTTTGTCACTTTTTGAAATGAATTGCTTCATGGGTACTATAATTGAAGCTAAAGTTGGATGGAAAATTGTTGGCAACTGGTTAAAAGGTTGAGGGAAAATAAGTTTTGAAACAAAAGCAACATTTCAACGGTTGGATAAATCTCAATGGACAGGCTCATCGTTGCACCAGGTTTTTTTAATGAAGATTTTCACTTTTTCTGTATCAAGCCAGACTACCTACAGGGAATTATGGTTAAAAGAAATATGGGTGCAAGCTTGTTCTGGTGTCTCCGGTCTATGCTCTAGCATATAGTCTTCAGTTTTGTAGCTCTTTACCTTTTCTTTTTCTTTATTTTTCGAATCAGACAGTCCTTTACCTTTTACCTTTCACCACACAGTTACGTTTGTGTTAAGTTTAGATGACATTGTGGCAGATATTGGTTAGCACCTTCAATTTTCTGACTGTTATGGAGCCTATTATATCATCCTGTCATATATAAATGTAGATGCTTTGATATTCAAAACTTAATGAAAACAATTTTATTTCTTTAAATAACTTTTATGTGTTTTGATCTTTCTAGTTAAGTATGACTCACATATGTCAAATGATGTGCCCGCGGCATGCGACGTACTGGAGGATGAGAAGCAAGACTGTTTTTAAGGACTTTAGGAGAGCATTTTTTCTATATAAAATGATGTATCTATTCATATGTATATGCTTCATGTGCATTTTTTACAATATGTAGATGGTTCAGTTCTTGTGGTTTCAACTTAAGGGTCAAGGGATTTCTGAATACTCATTAAGGAAAAAAAAAGAAAAGAAGAAAAAGATCTTGCTTGATGAATAATGATGGTTTTTTTTTCTTTTCATTTTATTAATTTGTGAGTTATGTCAGTGGTAACCTATGCTGTTGATTGCTACATACCTCTCTTCAAAATCAGGTAGCAAGTATACCAGAAGGGTTTCATGGCAGGTAATGGCCTGCCATCTCTGGGTCGTGTATCATACAAACTATCTGTTTCAACTTTGTCGCAGTCACTAGCTCAATATTCTGCTGCCATCATTCAATTTCCAGTAAGTGATGGGGCTCTTTTGAGATCTGGTTTAGATTCGGCTCGCCTCTACTTCCACCAAAAAGCATCATACCCAGCTGCGGATATGGTTAATACCAATGACCCTCGTGACTGGTGCAAGACTTCCGGTTATTATGCAGATCCTCAATTGTGGCTAGAAACCTATGATTACAGACCTGGACTCACTCCCTTAGAGCCGAACAACACAATGGAATTTCCTCCAGCAGGTTTACCGGATATATTTTCACTGCTTGGAAAGGCAGCTCGGGATATATTGGATGCTATCAGCTTCTATTTGAACTTGCGGAGCTCACCATTTACTAAAGTACTTGATAATGTTCCCTTAAGAAATGGGGAAATATCTTCTTCAGTACTGTCTGTCTGCTGTCATACAAGACCATCATTTCAGGGAGCACAACACCATAATTTTACGACTCAAGAGGATGGCCAGTTGGTTATGTTTTCTGACCATGAGCACCAAGTTGACAAAAGCTTGATATCTCTTGTCAAGTCAGACAAGGCAGGTCTACACATAAAGGACTTTCAGGGTCGTTGGGTTCTTGTGGATGAAGATCTTGGTCCCCAAGAAGCTATTGTTTACCCTGGCCTTGCACTCTATCAGGCAACTGCTGGATATGTCAACCCTGCACTGCAAAGAACAGAGACTACTAATATTCAGAGCAACTTGTTTGGCCGATGTTCTTTGGCTTTTAAACTCATGCCTAAATCCATGACCAGTCTCAGTTGTTCAGAGATGAGAGATGCTGGTCATGGGGTTGAAGCTCAGTTCCAGCTGCCAGTTCCGGTCGATGACTTTATGCAGAGATCTCACCCAACCGATCAACTTTTCAACAGACACAGTTTTCAAAGTTTCAATTTCCATGCAACCCAAGAAGGTATGCTGCATTTAATCTTTTTACCATTGGCTGCTTGTTTATATACCATAGATTAATTCATGAATGCTACTTTTCATATTTTTCATAACAGCTACTTTGGTTGTCTGTTCTTCATTGTTCTGGCTTGTCATATACGCGTCAAAGATTTTTTTTTTTCTTTCTTTTAGACAGGACTGGTTTTTCACTGAATCAGGTGGACACACCAAAAATAAGTTTAACCAGTGAATTTGGCTTCTAATATTTCTTAGTAGGGTGTTGTATAATTGATATTCTGTTATCATTAACATTTGATGCTATTTGAATTTGGCTTCTAATATTTCTTAGTAGGGTCTACTTAATAGTTTTTGCATTCCTGTTGTAAGAAACAAGGATCTTCAATCTAGTTCTATCTTCTAGAAATTCTCTCCATCTCATGAATCCTGTTGATGTTGGATTACGTGTGTTCTCTGTGTGAGTAGCTCTTAGTGAGAAGCTTTTAACAGCAGGTCCTTGGATCGATGAAATGCTGGTACAGGATCTATGAAGCCTTTGTTAAGGAGGAGGAAGAATGATTCGAGATCAAAACCTCTGCCACCTTCCAAGAGATTAAGGCTTGAGGCCCAGAGAGTTCTGAAGGAAAGGGTTCAGGACATTGCAGACAAGAAGGGAATCAAGCTGAGGTTCTGCAACCTGAAGGAGTGTGAGAATCATATTCTCACACTTGATAGCCCATGTGCCAATATAAGAATGGAGATTGGGTGGCCACATGGAGTGCCATTTGTTCATCCCCATGATCTACCCAACAAGGCAAAGATTGGTTTCCTTGAAGCATATGAACCTGGTTGGACAGCTACTCATGAAGTGGAGTTAAGTCTAACTGAACCAGGACAGGCCAGTCAACACTCGGTTAATTGTAATTGTAAGTGCCATTCAAGTAATCAAGTAAAAAAGTTTGTATCTGAATAACCGAGCATACTTGCACATTAGATTCTTCTCTTTGGTTCAATGCTTCGCAGACAATCACACATGCTTTCTCTTCATCCATGTTACTGTGAAGTTATTATAGGATATATATGCTAATGAAATGTAGTGTCTGAAGATTGTGCTAGAAATAGAAGTTATATACGTATCTTTGTGGTAGCATTAGTAAAGGAGAAAAAGTTTTGACAATGGTGAGACTTGTGCAGTAGTTCTGTGGATAATTATTAA